TCGGGGGCCTCATTTGTCTGAGAGTAGGCATCTCATTTTTTGAGTAAAAAACAAATAATTTATGAGTAAATTTGGAAATATGAAAAAAAAAAATGAAAAAAATGGCTACTGTTGATCACACTAGTCTACTCTAATGTTTCACCAGGAATTTTGTTTTGAAACTTTTGTTTTGTAAAAAATATGGCTCATAGTCACACTTGTGGTGTTCCCGGTCAAAAATGACCGGCCTATAAAAAATAGCTTATAAGTCACTCATTATACCTTATTTTCACCCAATCTTGGATTCAATCTTTTTGTCAACTTGTTCTCTTTCAATTAGGACTGGTTTTATATTTCTGTTTGCATCTGATTAATCGTGGGCCTCATTTATCTGAGAGTAGGCATGGTCAAAAATGGTCACAATGGCCGACCATTGAAAGTGAATGGGAGAGACTGAAAATAACAGAACAATTTAGTTTTCAGGAGCATGTTCATTATTTTCATGTACACATATGAGCATGTGTGCTTGCAAACATCGAGCCCTTGGACCTGTGCATGTAGCGATACATTTATACACACGCTATCCAGACACACACACGTTAAAACACACAAACTTTTTTAAATATTACACACATTCTTTTCCACAGAGAGAAATTTGATCCTACCCTAACCTGCATCTAATATACATTTATCCATCTGACATTACCACACACACACACACACAGGCCGTGATCAGATTTTTGACTCAGAAACTAGTGAGGAGGAGGAAATTCAGGATGCATCTTGCAGTGAAGATGTTTCTGAAGAGGAAGGCACCACTGAATCGGCTACGGAGCTTGAAACAACTGATGAGGAGCAGTCTTCCAGTGATGAGGGCCCAGCTGAGGTTACCGTTTCATTCTGGTCAAAAGATGGAACTTTGTCCTGGCCTTCATCCCCACCTATGAGGCAAGGCAGGTTTTCTTCTGAAGGCCTTCCTCTTCAGAAACATCTTCACTGCAAGATGCATCCTGCATTTCCTCCTCCTCACTAGTTTCTGAGTAAAAAATCTGATGAATAACATCATGTGCAGAGCTGTTTTGCCATTGTGCTGCCACAAATGAATGACAAGCAAGGTGCTGTGAGGCATTTTATATATGCCTGTGCTATCACATGATGTATATTTGTAAATATTGTCTAGTTCTGTGTGAGAACCTCACAGTTCCAAAACAAAATGTCATAATATTTTGTCTGGAAGCTGTGATGAAACAAGACCATGAAAGAAAGATTCTTTTGAAGCCGGGTCACTGCAGTCACGGCCAGTTTGTGTGTGTGTGTGTGTGTGTGTGTGTGCGCGTGTGTGTGCGTGTGTGTGTGTGTGTGTGTGTGTGTGTGGTAATGTCAGATGGATAAATGTATATTAGATGCAGGTTAGGGTAGAATCAAATTTCTCTCTGTGGAAAAGAATGTGTGTAATACTCAAAAAAGTTTGTGTGTTTTAACGTGTGTGTCTGGGTAGCGTGTGTATAAATGTATCGATACATGCACAGGTCCAAAGGCTCGATGTTTGCAAGCACACATGCTCATATGTGTACATGAAAATAATGAACATGCTCCTGAAAACTAAATTGTTCTGTTATTTTCAGTCTCTCCCATTCACTTTCAATGGTCGGCCATTGTGACCATTTTTGACCATGCCTACTCTCAGATAAATGAGGCCCACGATTAATCAGATGCAAACAGAAATATAAAACCAGTCCTAATTGAAAGAGAACAAGTTGACAAAAAGATTGAATCCAAGATTGGGTGAAAATATGGTATTATAAGTGATTTATAAGCTATTTTTTATAGGCCGGTCATTTTTGACCGGGAACATCTCAAGTGTGACTATGTGCCATATTTTTTACAAAACAAAAGTTTCAAAACAAAATTCCTGGTGAATCATTAGAGTAGACTAGTGTGATCAACAGTAGCCATTTTTTTCATTTTTTTTTTTCATATTTCCAAATTTACTCATAAATTATTTGTTTTTTACTCACAAAATGAGATGCCTACTTTCAGATAAATGAGGCCCCCGATTAATCAGATGCAAACAGAAATATAAAACCAGTCCTAATTGAAAGAGAACAAGTTCACAAAAAGATTGAATCCAAGATTGGGTGAAAATATGGTATAATGAGTGACTTATAAGCTATTTTTTATAGGCCGGTCATTTTTGACCGGGAACACCACAAGTGTAACAATGTAACAAAACTCCCACAAAAAAATAAGAAATTTTTCAAAAAAAACCTGAGATTTAGTTAAACCGTTTGGGAACAAAGTCACTAAGTTTCAGTCCAAAGCGATAACATTAACTAGTATTTTCGGGAAAAAGAAATTCTTCTCCGGGTCAAATTGACCCGAACACCACATGAGGGTTAAGTTTGATCTGCTAATGATACACAGGCAGAGAGAGAAAGGCTTTGGTGCTGAGCAATGTCATCATTTGTTTCCTTGCATCCCTTGCAATAAATGAATTTCCCCATGACTTGCATCTTCCTGCTGAGATGACACACAAATGCACAACTGAGGCAACTGCTAACTGTGTGTTTATGGGATTTGTGTGTTTGCCTGTGCAAGTGCAAATGTGTTCATAGATCTGTAGTGAATGTGAAATGCATTAGTTTAATATTTACAAAAATACACATTCCAGAATGTTATATATATATATATTTTTTTTTTTACTTTATCACAGCGTATCACATAGTAATTGAAACTCCCATTTCTTTGTCAATTGACAGGAAATGTTATTGGTCGGAGACAACATGAAAATGACACATTTTTGATTGGTTGAGGTCAATTCAACAAAATCTCCATCTCTCTGTTTTACTTTTTTTTTCTTCGAGCTGTCAGAATTATTTGGAAAAGAGGTCAGAAGTTCATAGAGAGAGTGAAAGATGGATATTAATCAGCTCTTATGAGCATAAACATTTCAGCAGCCAATGGAACTTAAACTAATCAATGACATATTATGAACTGGTTTAAATAAGTGATGTAAAATCAATGCCATGTGTCTAATCATCACTTAATCTGGCATAACTCAACTTTCAACATGCATAGAGAACGTCAGCCCATTTTCCGTATGAACTGGTAATATGTCACATGTGATCATTATGACCCGTCTGTCCTTTGCAGTGAGAGCTACATTTAAAAAAAATAGAGTTTTTTTAATGGTGCTTTCTTCTATTTTTTTGGCTGTTACAAAAACCATTCATGATGTTTTTCTATTGATTTTCGTTTCACTTGGTGTTCGTTTGTGGCTCATAAATTCTCGTCCTTCTGTAAGTTATTCTTTTATTCTTCTGATCTGGGAAGTTTTGCTGCTTATCTAATAATGATGACAGCTTTGATTTGGAGGTCACTGTTGGTCTTTGGTTCCGGCTCCAGCCTGAAGCTGATATCACAAACAAGTTGACCTCTGAATCGCACTTCTGTTATGGATGCAATAACTATAATAACAGAAAGAAGCAGAAAAAAAGGGTAAATTACAACACACGCTGTGAAAGAATAAAAATGCATGAGGATCACTGAATGTCAAGATCAGATGCGTTTTTGATTCATCTATTTCAGAAAATCTTTGGTCTGGTTCTGAACCCTAGTCTTCTTGCATTCTGATCGAAAACTTGACCGACACATCTGACTTCTAACTATTAAAACGTTTTTTTTTTTTTTTTTTTTTTTTCTTTACCATGTTTTATCTTGCCAAGGCACAAAGTTGGGCCAAAACTGCCACTGAAGTCCCCTCGTAAAAAAAGCAGTATGACACGCCAATAGATGTCACATATCACATAAACAGTCCTGAAGCTAAATAAAGGTCATTTAATAACAAATGCTCAGTTGTTCCATTTTAAGGCAAAGGTAAAACAAAACATCTGATAAAAATTTTAAGCAAATGTGTTGCTAAAAATAGAAGTGTACAGAGAAATGCATCTTGATGCTGTTCTGTACCAGCACACATGAGAATATACAACATGATAACAAAGAATTGTGTGCATACAATATTATTTAGCCTTTCTGCTATGCTGTGATTTCCATTAGGGCAAAACCTTTCAGCGCTTGATGACACAAATCTGGGTTGTCAGTCTGAAAACCAAGTTCACTCAAAGTGCATTGAGTTAGCCTTTAACTTCTTGACCTGCTTTAATTTTTTTAATTCTTTAAAACACTATCCAGACTGCCAGTTTAGTGTGTTGCTTATAAGAGCAGCTTCTTCTGTCTGCTGAAGCCTTTCAGAACCAGGAAACCTGTTGTAAAATGCTGAAATGTTGGAGTGTAGCTTTTCAAAGCAGCAGCTTGATCCAAATGTTTCTCCTGAGGCACTGGTGACATTTTCTGCAGTATAAAACACACAAAGAAGGACTGTTAGGCACCATGTTTAATATCGTTTTCAGGACCAAACCATTTTTCATTGCTTTTATCACCCTGACAACAAAATTCTAATGGATATGAATGAAACGAAAAGAATGACGATGGGAAAACAACACATTTCACTGTGAAGTGTTGACAAAAAATTCAACTTTGGTCATTATTTACCAAACTGGTATGATTTTCTATCCCCTGTGGGACATAAAATAAAATATTTTTAAAGATGTATCAGGTTTTTTTTTTGGTTTTTTTGTCCAAAGTCAATGGGCACCAAAGCAACATTTTTAAAAATACGTCTTTTGTGCTTATTAAGTCAGTCGGTTTTTAATCAATTGACTCCCTTTGTATATATCATACGAGTTCTGAATATGAACTCTGCATACTTGAAGATGCAACCGCTTCACACAGTTGGTGTGCCATTTAAAGATAAACATAATGTGCTCTGCTGGGACTGCATGCTGAGAAAACTCAACGACACAATGGATCTACAACAAAATGAAGTCAAGCTGCGAGTGTATTCACACCCTGTGAAAAAGACAACTAAAAGCCTTGATAAGAAGAGTGTTTTTCATCTAACATCTTAACTCTTTCTTTCCGTCTTTCGCCTCCTCCATCTTTCCTTCCCCTCCATTCTCAGGAGTATCCGGTGTCTGAGAAATATCATCCACTGGAACCTGATTACGGCATTTATCCTGCGAAATGCCACCTGGTTTGTGGTGCAGCTCACCATGAATCCAGAGGTGCATGAGAGCAATGTGGTGAGTAAACACATACGATGACAAATATTCTCTCCTTCTCCTATTACCTTTCCTTTCAAAATACACAACCAGTGCACACATAATCTGTTATTCTTTCTCACAAATGATGTGCACACCCGCTCTTTTGTTCAATCCATTGTTCGTTCTCACTATTTCCCTCTCTTCAACCCGCTGTTATTCCCTCATTCTGTTGGCACACATGCAGAGAAACACAAGTTTATTAATTGCATTCAAAAACTGCCCCTGACAGCTGGGTCTCCGTTTCTGCACTCATTACAGGCGTGGAAATCTAACTGGCACTAGACGTGTATCTGTGGGTGTTTTGGGAGGAATGCAAACAGCTCATCGTCCAATATGCTTCTCTGAGAATTAATTACCCTCCACATTTCTGTGCTTTCTTAATCAACTCATCTGAGTCGAGCAATTAATTCATCTACCACCACGTCTATATCAGTCCCAAAGGGCTCTTCCATCTTACTTTCAAATTCAACCTCATACTCTATGATGCACATGGCGTTTCGGATGGTATCAGAGTTCGATTCCACCATGTTTGTCCTTGATACTTATCTTTTGCTGTTGCCAAAGCATAATTTGTATCTATTTATCTGCAAGGGCCGACTTAATTGCCTCTTCATGCTAAGATTTTGCACAGCAGCACATTAATTCTACCTCTGAACTCCCCTAGAGAAAAACTTGCAAGGTGTTTTCAGGAGGAAGTGGTTATTACACATTCCTCCAGGTCTGTATATAGAAAGCAGTGGCCTAATTCTCCTTGTTTAGATTCAAGTAAAGTTCCTTTGAGATGTTTAAAAGTGATAAGAAATTTTTTGAAGACAAATGCTTACTATTGACCTCTCTAGATGAAATCAAATTAGCCTTCTTGGACAAAATGGAGAGCTGTCTGTTTAACTGTGAATAAAATTGTGTAAATACACGATGTCATTGATGCACTTGTGTTGAATCGTTTCAATTACGGTTCAAGCAAGTGATCCCAGTTGTTTTGTGGTTTATACAAAGAACATCTTGACTCATTCGATCCGCTTCGCTTAATGAGGTTCAGCTTTGCATTGTCTTTTTAGCTGTATGTACAAGATGCATTCGTTTAGGAAAGGCTCACAAGTCAGAGCCAACTGCTTTTCATTGAGTTTAATAGCGCAAAATGACACATTTATTGTGAAAAGTGTCACTTTGTGGATAATTTACACAATGCCAGTTAATGACAGACATTGTTCTGTAAATAACTGCAAAATTAGCAATAAAGATCCTACAGAAGCTTGTAATCTCTACAAGGTCCTAAATTCCTGTCACACCAGGGGGCCTATTATGAAAGAGGGTTGTACAATTCAAAAGAAGTACTTCTGAGAGCTGGAAGGCTTTATGACTAAGAGAGCTTTAAATTTTTTCCCACTATTTCACATGTTGAAATAAAATCGTTACCACAGAATACATGTAATGGTCTATGGACTATTAGTTTGCTGATTAATGCCTGGAATTAATGAGTCTACAATAGTTTCTCAAGCCCATAAGGCTGATATAAGTGTTAGACTGAGATTTTGCTTTCTCCTACAGATTGTGAGAAAAGTCACCCCTTTTAACGAGAAGCCACAGGTCTGAAAGTTTATAATCGTTCAGTGACACTTGAATTCCCACTTCAGTCATAACTCACAACTGTGATTTTCAATCTTGAGTCGAGAGTGACAGATTTCTTATCTTCTCGTGAGACAACAGCATGACAGAGCTATGAAATATGGCCAAAACAAAAGAGCGGAGGCTAGGATTAAACAGGGCCCTGACACACACTGAAGCCAGTGTGACTCTTGCAAATGTCAGGAGCGTCACAGCTTTTATCCAGGTGCAGTACTGTCTTACTGTCCTGTCCGTTAAACATTAAACATCTGTCATTCACATGTTTTAGATTTTTTTTCTCTGTCAGTTGGTTTATTAATCAGCTTGTTTCTATGTGCATACAAAAAGTATATACCCTATATTGCAGAAGAACATTGGGTCTCATTCCCTAAAAATAGCGTGGATTATTTTGCATTTGTACGCACAGGAGAACTTCTCACGAAAAATATCCGCTTAATTCACAACACATTCGTATGCACATGAATTTGTTCTTAACACCGTTCTATTATTAGTGAATTTGGAGTATTCTAAATGAGCGGCCATGTACAAGGTTAGTCATTTGCATAAAACACACCCAAACCATCTTCATATAAGAGCTTTCTGCACACGCTTTCCTTACAGCCTTTCTTCACACTCGTCAAACTTGACGCTGTTTGCAGACGCGCTCTCGCCCGATCCTCGAGCAATGCCAAGTGTGCCATTCTCACCAGTTCTCACAATAAATATACCCAGATTACAGACCTCTCATTAGCCAGTTCTACATACGCGTATAGCTGAAGGCTATAACGCAGCTTTTCTTACTCTTAAACTATATGATGGAATGTATTTAAGATTAAATTAAATTGTATTATTTAATAATTTTATTATATAATTTTATATATGGATTACAAATTATGGACGTATCAATGCAACATACTTTAATATAATTATCCTGTTAGGATGAAATATAACTTTTATAACACGATTATAAGGCCGTACAGAGTAAGTGCTTTTTGCGTACGTGTGGTTTCAGTTGTTCCTATATTTTTTCGTAAATTTAGAATAACGCATGTGGTAAAGTAAACAGCCTTTAATGAACTGGTTAAACCATTAAAACTAGTTAAAAGTAGATCTACGCGTTTCGGCAACACAGTCTTCACTGTAATCCCGAAAGGGTTAGTTCACCCAAAAATTTAAATTTTGTCAGTAATTACTCACCCTCATGTTGTTCCAACCCCGTAAGACTTTCGTTCATCTTCGGAACCCAAATTAAGATATTTTTGATTAAATCTGAGAGCTGTCTCACTCCTCCATAGGCTTCTATGTTATTGAAACTTGCCGGCCCAGAAAAGTTAGTAAAAGTTAGTAAAAACATCGTTAAAATAGTCCAAGTGACTACAGTGGCTATATTCTTAAGGTTTTTACAGAGGGGTTTGTTCATATGTCATTCAGATTCTGATTTATACAACATTTTATACCTAAAAACGGGGCGAATTTTTTTTTTCTGTTGACAGTTTTTTTCTGATTAATGGAATTATAAAAAGAGATATCCAAAATCCCCTCTGTAAAAACATTTGACTCTAATATGTCAACAAATTAAAACATGTTATTTTTGAATTTTGAATCAGGCTTTATCCAATGTTCAGACTTCTCTTCTGGGATATATGCAAGGCACACCTGTGCAATAATCATGCTGTCTAATCAGCATCTTGATATGCCACACCTGTGAGGTGGATGGATTATCTCGGCAAAGGAGAAGTGCTCACTAACGCAGATTGAGGCAGATTTGTGAACAATATTTGAGAGAAATAAGCCTTTTGTGTACATAGAAAAAGTCTTAGATCTTTGAGTTCAGCTCATGAAAAATGGGGGCAAAAACAAAAGTGTTGTGTTTATAATTTTGTTCAGTGTATATATATGTATATATATATATATATATAATAACAACACTGTTGTTATTATTACTTCAGTATTAACTGATAAACTATCATAGGAACTATTTAATTCATACACCTAAATATTTACAACAAAAAAATACTAACACCTTAAAGATTATATATGAAACATTATGATTTGTGCTGCAGTTAACCTTCTGCTGTGTTTTCTACTATGTTTGATCTGTCAAACCCATAAATATTTTGATATTCAGGACCATCTGAGAGGTTTTGTACTTCTGATAGTCCTGTCATGCGAAGCGATAACCCACTGGCTTTTATCATACTTTCATCTAAATCTGTTCCATCTCTGGGCCATGTTTCAGACCCCTACACCCCCCACCCATCTGTAAAGTCCCTTCTTTTAGAGTAGAACGGTTTTATCCCCTGCTTGGTGTTTGAACTCAGCTTCAATCATAAAGAGTAGACATTCCACACACACGTAATCACGCACAAGCTTTCATTTCCTCAAGCTATTAAAATAAAAGCATTTTGAAACAGAGAATGCTTACAAGAAGTGGCATGGTGATCTCCTAGGGTACAATTTAGGACAGTTTCTAAACATCTAACTTGATTTCTCTTTCTCTCATCGCTCTCAGATCTGGTGCAGGCTGGTCACAGCAGCGTATAATTATTTCCATGTGACCAACTTCTTCTGGATGTTTGGAGAGGGCTGCTATCTGCACACAGCCATAGTACTGACATACTCCACTGACAAACTGAGGAAATGGATGTTCATATGTATAGGCTGGTGTAAGTATCCCATGATGCACAACTCTGGAAATTATCCAGTTTTGGATCATGTACTGTACCTGTTTCATAAAATGACCCTGAACATGTCCGTTTACTTTAAAGTTAATGTGACACACAATACACAATACACAACCCATATTAAGTACATAATCTTAAGTATTGCTGTGTCACATAGCATATGTAGGGTTGGATTTAAGACATCATTGAAAGAGGAAAGTAGTTTTGATTAAAGATTGAAAAATTCTGTCATCATTTACTCACCCTTGAGTTGTTCCAAACCCGTAAGACTTCAGAACACAAATTAAGATATATTTTTTTATAAAATCTGAGCCAGTTCTGTACTCTCCATTGATAGCTACGCAACTACCACTTTGACGCTTCAAAAGGTTCATTGTCCTTCGAGGTGTCCATTGTCTAGGTTTTAATGGACTTCGGCGGAGGCAACCGTCCTAATTAAAAAGAGTAATTAATGGCAGAATTTTCATTTTTGGGTGAACTAACCCTTTAAGACAAACACAGCAAGATCAGGATTGTGCATTACATGAACTAAGAAAGCAAAAAAAGGTCAGCTCTGATTTTATGTTGCCTTTAAAGTACATCATTGATTAAATTACTTTTGATTAGTAACTTGAAAAAAGAGACACAGCTACAGTAGTAGATAATTACACTAATGAGGATTGCAATTTGATCAGGTTCTCTTCTGAACCATGGACGAGTTATTATGCGAATAAACAAGCCTTGGATTTTCCTCATTAAAAATGCATTGCAAATGAGTCATTGCCGAGGATTTATCACACAGTCCCTTAATAGTATCAATTATACTGTTTGTACAATGTCTTTGATTTTCAAAGTAAGTGAGTAGAAATTTGCTCTGCTTTTTTCCGAAGGTATTCCATTCCCCATTATCGTCGCATGGGCCATTGGCAAGCTGTACTATGACAATGAAAAGTGAGTTTGCTGATGCTTTCTGTCATTTTCTTCCTTTTTTATCTCTGTATAATATCTGCATTTTACTCTACACACACAAACTCCCTCACCTAATTTACAATAAAAGCAATTAAAGGTTAGATTAACCCCAATTATCTCCATCATCTACCCTCGTCTTGCTCATTAAACAATCGATTCACGATAAAGCCAGAGAAGCTTTCTGTAAGTGATGCTAATTAACGCCTGCTACTCACAAAATTGATGAGTGACACTGATGTAAACATCCCAGAGTTCAATAGTAGTCAAGACTTGATATATACAGTTAAAAGATCTTCTAAATAAAAAGACTCTTTATAATAAAAACTAACAAATGACTAACACATTAAACTAAAGCCCACATTAACTGCTTTAGTCCCAAGATGGGACACTACAAAGAAACGATGTTTCATTGTGAAAAATGTTCATTTATTCATATTAAATAGGGGTAGAGGGGTATATAATATCCATTGTCCGGGCTTTATATTTAGGTTTAAATGCATGAAATATGCCATTATTGTAATATATGAAAATATTTTCACCATTTTTGCAGATTTACTGTCTTCTGTATGTGAAATACTAATAGTTTTACCATGTATAATATGAATTAAATAGTAGTTACATTAATTAGATTTATTGTGTCATTATGTCACAAGTAAGTAGGGAGTGTGTAATAATTTATGGGTGGGTGGGTGGTTGGGTGGTTGGGTGGTTGGGTAGATGTGTGGATGATTTGGATAGATGGATGGATGGATTGATGGTTTGGATGGATGGATGGATGAATGGATGGATGGATGGATGGATGGATGGATGGATGGATGGATGGATGAATGGATAGATGTTTTGGATGGATTATTGGATGGAAGGATGGGTGGATGCATGGATGGATGGATGGATGGATGGATGGATTGATGGATGGATGGATGGATGGATGAATGGATGGATGAATGGATGGATGAATGGATGGATGAATGGATAGATGTTTTGGATGGATTATTGGATGGAAGGATGGGTGGATGCATGGATGGATGGATGGATAAAAAGTGACTTTTTATTTCCTTTAGACTGTGTATAGAAAAGTATATGCCAAATTTAAACTTAATGTGTGAATTGTTGTTAAACGGAGCCTCTGGAGTGCTACCAAACTAAACAAACTAATTTTCACATAATTAAAAAGTCTCTGTTAACAATCCTTAACACCTCTTTAATTTACCTTCTCACTTACATCTGCTGAACACTGTGGAGCAGCGCTTCTCCACTGGTGCATTGTGTATGGCCAAAAATGGGTCACAGCTCTGCACAGAAAGGGAAAAAACAATGCTAAATGCTAATTATAAAATGCAGCTAACCATACAAGTGTACACAGATTATGTGGTTAATATCAATGGCTGTACATCTATCGGGTGTTCAGTTTTGAAAATGTAGTCATCCCTTGGTAGAGGCTTGCCGGATTAACCTAGCCCTTAACCAACTGCTTAAACCTAATTCATCTCACTGTCACAAACCAGATGTAGATGACCCCAGAAAAGTATTTTTTTAAACATGCGCATTTAAAAAAAAACTGAGGCTTGTTTTACCTAGATGAATTTGTGCATCTCTTCGGTTGAGCTCCACAAATGACAGCATTTTGCCATTCAGACGTATCCCCAAAAGCCAGATGTTTCTCCCTTCCTGTAAAACTGACACACTCAGCCGAGACAGTCTTGATTATGCCGTGTACCCAACTGAAACGGTAAGATTAACAAATCTGGTGCATATCTGCCCTAGGGACACACTTTCCTTCTCTTCCTTGCTTTGTTTCTTTCTTTTCTTCTTATGGAAAAGCTTCTATTTATATATTTTCCAGTGGATCGTCTTTAATCACTTTACTGAACTTGTTTCACTAGGCTTGTTTAATCATTGCACTATAATAATAAACATTTATCTCCAAATCCATTTTTATTGTTACACGGATAAACAGTTAAGCTGTCTGAAGAAATAGGGTCAAAATATTATATATACTTTATAATAATTGTAGGTGCTTCATCATAAATTAAGGTATCTTACTCTTTCTGTGCAGGTGCTGGTTTGGGAAGCGGGCCGGCATTTACACTGATTATATTTACCAGGGTCCCATGATCCTGGTCCTACTGGTGAGTCAGCACAGTCTTGATTCATGTCCACTTACACAAATGTTTCATGAGATTTAGAGCGTACAAGTAATTTAGCATTTTTTATTTGTTTGGTGCCTTCCTCTTTCGCATGAGTCTTATTATGTCTTCCATGATTTATGTGTGTAATTTCATATTGATGATAATTCATATTTGCCATTATAGTGTGTAAAATCGAGTGCCCTTTCTCTCTATCTCTCTCTCCATCTGTAGATTAATTTCATTTTTCTCTTCAACATTGTGAGGATCCTGATGACTAAACTGAGGGCCTCCACTACCTCAGAGACCATTCAGTACAGGTGAGATAGATTATTCAGCACAGACAGATCCCAAAAGAAAGGTTTTGCACAGAGGTTGCTCATTGTTGGGATAGGTGACTTCATGCAGAAACATAAAATGCCCCTGCCACGTAGGGTTTAATTTATTAAACATGTTGGCTAATTAAAATAGGGTGTTACCTACCAAATGAGTTTAGTAGTACTCTTAGCAATATACACTACCATTCCAAAGTTGGAGGTCGTTCGATTTTTTGTTAAAGTTTTTGAAAGTCTCTTATGCTCACCAAAGCTGCATTAGCATTTATTTGATAAAAAAAAAAGAGTAAAACAGTAATATTGTGAATTATTATTATGATTTAAAAGCTGTTTTCTTTTGGAATATATTTAAATATGTAATTTATTCCTGTGATGGCAAAGCTGAATATTCAGCAGCATTACTCCAGTCTTCAGTGTCACATGATACTTCAGAAATCATTCTAAGCACTGATGCTCAGGAAAAATGTCTTATTGTCATCAATGTTGAAAAAGGTTGTGCTGCTTAATATTTTTTGTGGAAACCATGATAATTTATTTCAGGATCCTTTGATGAATAGAAAGTTCAAAAGAACAGTATTACTATAGATGGCTTTTGATCAATTTAGCACGTCCTTGATGAGTAAAAGATGACACCAAACTTCTGGATAATTTCCCTCAAAATGAGTGTAGAAAATGTTACGTTACCTCAGACGCTTATCCTAAACTCCTTCTGTGAAATAATAATGAATACAAAAGGATAGGATAGTAGACAACTGCTGACATACAGTAAGAATTTAGAGCTAGAATATGAATCTGGAAAGCATAACTCTATTGTGTAAGCAAATGTTGCAGTGTTGGGCTGCTCGGAGGCTCAGAGTAACAGAGCAGTTTTAATAGGTACACAGTGTTTACACTATATGGGTAAATCATATAAATGGCTTACATCTAGTTGCCTCTGCTCTGCATATTAAAATTTTAACATAAAAAACATTGCACACTGTGATTTGGCTTTCCTGTTGAGTAGATGGAGGAGGATGAGCAGACTGAGATACTGAATTTAGTCATGTTTTGTGTCTGTTCTGAGTACTGGAACTTTATAATAAGCTGTTAGTTGCTGTGCCAAACTGTTGTGTGAAAAAGAGAGGAAGGGATAGATGTGTTGAAGGCACACTCTCACTCTCTCTCTCTCTCTCTCTCTCTCTCTCTCTCTCTCTCTCTCTCTCTCTCTCTCTCTCTCTCTCTCTCTCTCTCTCTCTCTCTCTCTCTCTCTCTCTCTCTCTCTCTCTCTCTGTGTGTACATGTTTTTCTATCCCAATGGGGACTTAAACCTGAATGCACACAGACTCATGGGGACTCGTGTCACTGTGGGGACCTAAATTGAGGTCCCCATGGGTAAACAGGCTTATAAATCATACAGAATGATTTTTATTTTTGAAAATGTAAAAATGCGGAACGTTTCCTGTGATGGGTAGGTTTAGGGATGGGGCAGTGTAAGGGGATAGAATATACAGTTTGTACAGTATAAAAACCATTACGTCTATGGAGAGTCCTCACAAAGATAGTAAACAAGATGTGTGTGTGTGCGTGCGTGCGTGCGTGCGTGTGTGTGATACTCATATTCTCTTCAACTATGACTAATGTCCTTTACAGTCACAGTCAGTTTCCCATAGCAAATGCAATACATACTGATTAAACCAAATTCATCTCAATGTCATAGCGCAACTGTGACGTTACTCTGTGTATCATTATTCAGACACCACCTGGCTAAAAATACTATATTAATAAAATTGTATGTAGAATATAATGCTAAATGTGTGTTAAATCTAATACTATTTTGTCAATCAAATGGAAATCAGGGTCCGGTTCCATAAACTTAGCCTCTAAGTTAAGTCTTAAGAACAAGTTTGACCTAGTAGCAGTTAGACAAGAGGTAATCTGTCTTACTTACAAATTAGAACAATCTTTTTTTTTTTTATGTAACTGACTTTACAATGTAAGGACCAGTCTTGAAGAAAAACCATAGAAAATCACTTTGATTATTTAAATACTCTCCTCCCATAAATTTAGTGTCTGAAAGGCAAACTTATACAAATGCATATGCAATAAGGTCAGCTGTAAAAATAAAACTTTCCATGCCTTTTCAGTGCTATTTTTTTACAAATCAGAATAGTGAAGTTAGGCACTCTGGAAAGGGTTAACTGGTCAATACTGTACTGTGAAAGTTTTTTACAAATCACAAAACAGCAATGCTTCCATCTCGATGCTGAGAAATATAATGTAGCATAGCATGCAGTGAAATATAATGTAGCATGCAGTTATAATGTAGCATGTAGTTTCAGTAATGAAGCGTTGACAAGGTTTCTCTACTCTTAAATGTTTCTGTGTGTGTGCTGCACGATCTCTGTGAAAGCGAATGACGTGAAAGCTTTATGGATGCAGGCGCCAATGCACCCAGACCCATATGCACATGCATACCCTGCATACCCAGACGCTAATCCACTGCGACCGACATTGAAACAATACAAAGCAGGTTGAAAATCTGAGAAGTTACACTGTAAATGTAAATGCTGGCATTAAAGAAATAGTTCACCCCGAAATGAAAACGAAAACCCTCATGTTGTTCCAACCCCGTAAGACTTTCGTTCATCTTCGGAACACAAATTAAGATATTTTTGATTAAATCTGAGAGCTGGCTCACTCCTCCATAGGCTTCTTAAAGGATCGAAACTTGCCGGCCCAGAAAAGACATTGTTAAAATAGTCCAAGTGACTACAATTGTTCAATCTTAAGTTTATCAAGCGGCGAGAATACTTTGTGCACAAAAAACAAACAAATAAAAATAACGACTTTATTCAACTATTCATTTCCTTCTCTGTAGGCCAACAGAGAAGGAATTTGTAACGGTGCAGGCAGGAATGAATGAAGCGGAGAGTGAATCCAATCGCAAGCACTTTAATAAACAAACAACTAGGTAATCCTGGGTACACGACAGAACACTCAGAACAGGAACCGGGAACAAGGAGACATGCGGCGCATACGTGACGTGAACAGTCTCTGGCTGGGCAGACGTGACGTGAACTGTCTCTGGCTGGGCAGACGTGACGTGAACAGTCTCTGGCTGGGCAGACGTGACGTGAACAGTCTCTGGCTGGGCAGACGTGACGTGAACTGTCTCTGGCTGGGCAGACGTGACGTGAACTGTCTCTGGCTGGGCCAGCGGTGAGGGCTCTTTGCTGGACGGGACCAGCGGTGAAGGGCCAGTGCTTGGCGGAACCAGCGGCGAAGGCTTTGAGCTGGGCAGGACCAGCGGCGAAGAAGGCTGTGAGCTGGGTTCATGGGCTGTATCGAATGTGTGTGCAGCCTATACACACAAAACAGCCATGGACCCCACAATGAGCACAGTGTCTTCCAGAGAAGCATGGACGGTCTCTGGCGGGACGTGGCTGACGTGAAGCTCTGGCTGGACGTGGCTGGACGGAACCAGTCATTAACGTGCGTCATTAACGTGCCCAAAACGCTTTGAATTTGCGCGTACAATGAATAACATCGCGCCGGGAGATGACTAAAAACGCTACAAAAGTAAAAGTCAAGACGTTTGTATTCAAAGTTAAAAAGCCAACACACTACAACATTTTTAAATGTTTAAAATAAAGGATCTCGGGTCTATCTTCTAAATTCTGCTGATGATTAGATTATACCCTGACATCATAGTCTACTTAGTTACGCCAATAATATCGCCAATAAATTCAGTTTAGAATTTCTTTTTTTCTAATCAGTAGCGACCGTGTCTTTCTCTTCCACTTGATTTGTGTATAGCATATTTAAGCTAACAATGCAATGCATAATATCATATTACTTATATTAATAATATGACAATATCTGCAGTCAATATTGATTAAATATGGGAGGGAAAAACCCTGCCCATACCGCAGCTATGAAAAAAATGATAAAAGCGCTTAGGCTATGTTCATCTCCTGAAGTGGTATTCTGGAACTGTGAATAAATTGAATAAAACAGCAAAATAACAATAACATCTTCATTAAACAAAAAAGAGATTACCTTAGATAAAGTTTGATTAATATGTAGGCCTACATACAGTAGCCTACTGGTAAAAAGTCTGGACCAATTACTATTTTGAATGTTTTTGAAAGAAGTTTCTTATTATGCTCTACAAGCCTGCATTTATTTGATAAAAAAAAAAAAAAAAAAAAAAAAAAAAGAATATTCAGCAAGGATGTGTTAAATATATAAAAAGTGATAGTGAAGACTTTTTTCAAACAAGTTTTTAATAATCCAAAAATCCTGAAAAAAAGTATCACAGGTTATAAAATAAATATTAAGCACCATTGCTAACATTTGATAATAAATCAGAATATTATAAAGTTTTCTGAAGGATCACGTGACACTAAATTCAGCTTTGCATCACAGAAATATATTTTAAAGTATAGTAAAATAGGAAAACCATTATTTTAAATTGTAATAATATTTCACTATATATTTTTCTGTATTTTTGATCAAATAAATCCAGGCTTGATGAGCATAAGAGACTTCTTTCAAACACATTAAACATAGTAATGTGTCCAAACTTATGTACTGTGTAAGTAAAAATATACAACATTTAAAATTAAATGTTGTATAAATTAAAAGGTTAGGAATCATATTTGTTTCAAGAGTTTTTTTATTGGGGGTGGGGGGCCTCCAACATGAATATTGCCTAGGGCCTCCAAATGTCTAGAACCGGCCCTGCGAATGGGGCCCTGAGCTGGACATCACCAACCCAGGGTCGAAAAGGGGCCAGAGTGGAGAGTGGTGTCGGGACTCCTCTCGACCACCTCCTCTACTGCGGCCTCCACGGGTCCCGCGAAATTTGACCAACCGGGTCCCCTTAAAAGATTGTCCTCTCTCCTGCTCGGTGGCTGGGGAAGAGACACTGGCGAACATACTGCTGGATTCAGTGTTGGTGAGTTCTTCTGTAACGGTGCAGGCAGGAATGAAGCGGAGAGTGAATCCAATCGCAAGCACTTTAATAAACAAACAACTAGGTAATCCTGGGTACACGACAGAACAGGAACCAGGAACAAGGAGACAACAGCAAACGTTACAACATCAAGAACTCATAAGGACTGAACTAAAACACAGGGTTTAAAGGAGTAGTTCACTTTAAAAAAAACTTTTGCTGATAATTTACTCTCCCCCATGTCATCCAAGATGTCCATGTCTTTCTTTCTTCAGTCGAAAAGAAATTAATGTTTTTGATGAAAACATTCCAGGATTTTTCTCCATATAATGCACTTTGCTGGGCACCAAACGGTTCAAGGTCTAAATGACCGTTTCAGTTCAGCTTCAAAGGGCTTTAAATGATACCAGACGATGAATAAGGGTCTTATCTAGCGAAACGATCGGTCATTTCAAAAATAAATAAAAAAGTTAAAGTTTTATAGGCACAAATGCTTGCCTTGCGAACTCTCCTGTTCGAACTCGTTCATTTTGATGAACGAGGCAATGACTTGAAAAAAGATTCGTTCATTTTGATGAACGAGTTCGAACAGGAGAGTTCGCAAGGCGAGCATTTGTGCCTTTAAAACTTTAACTTTTTTATTTATTTTTGAAATGACAGATCGTTTCTCTAGATAAGACCCTTATTCATCGTCTGGTATCGTTTAAAGCCCTTTGAAGCTGAACTGAAACGGTCATTTAGACCTTGAACCGTTTGGCTACCATTGAAGTCCATTATATGGACAAAAATCCAAAAACATTAATTTCTTTTCGACTGAAGAAAGAAAGACATGGACATCTTGGATGACATGGGGGTGAGTAAATTATCAGCAAAAGTTTTTTAAAAAGTGAACTACTCCTTTAAATACAAGGGAACACAAGCTAAACAAGATAACAAGGGGGCGTGGTTAAACTGAAACACCTGGGAAGACTACTCAACATAATGGGGAACAGCTGAACATGGGACAAGACACATGGCAGGATCACATGACAAACAGGGAATCACATGACAGACAAGAACAAGGGACAAGACACAAAACCCACACCGTGACAGAAATGAATAGTTGAATAAAGTCGTTATTTTTGTTTGTTTTTTGTTTGTTGATTAGATTACACCAGACTTATTTCCTCTAAAGCCTGTCTTAATATATCTTTAAAACATTAAAGCTGTCTATTTTTTTAACACAACGTTCTGGAAACCTGTTTGAAATGGTTATTATGTTTTGTTATTTATTTTATTAAAACTAGTAGGGCACAAATTACTGCAATTTTTAATATTGCAATATCTGAAGACATGACTTTTATTTATATAAGTCTGGTTTCCATATTCTCATCTCTTCTTCTCTGAATCTCATAGGAAAGCAGTAAAAGCCACACTGGTTCTTCTGCCCCTGCTCGGTATCACATACATGCTGTTCTTCGTCAACCCTGGCGAGGATGAGATCTCACAGATTGTCTTCATATACTTCAACTCGTTCCTTGAGTCCTTTCAGGTAAACAAGCACAGTTTTGACCCATATTAATTGTGATAAATCAGATCTGAATCTGATTTTTACAACTCAGAGGTGAAAATTCTGAGAATGAATTGTACCCACTAAGTTATTTATTTGCACATGCTATCTTTTACAAAAAAAAGTTCTGCGTTAATGAATAAGTAACTAATAAGCCTAATTTGCATTGAATATAATGACAATGACAGAATCTATATATATGGGTCAGTGCTATTTAAGTGCATTTAGCTCTTGGTTAAACTGGATGGCAGCTTAATGAATAAGATGCAGGTTTTGTGCTGAAACATCACATGCTAAAGTGGTCACTAAATGCATTTGTTTTTGCAAAAACCAGTTGCAAACTAGTTGCACAGCTAAATGTTTTATAATGTTTTGTTTTCTATGACGTCTCGCCCACGTGTTCGGAAATCGTCAATCCATTTCCTTGTGCATTTCTCACATCAATCCACAGTTGTTCATGTCACTCGAAGCACACAAGGTCAACTCTATCCCCTGTTTTGCACCATTTGCTACCTGGTGTAACCCCGGGGTCTCTCATGAATGTTGAAGCCATGTTTTCCACAGATTCATCTGGCCCCACATCTGTCCAACTCCTCATGGGAATGATAATTCATCTGGGCAGAAAATTGAATGTTAGGGCACTCTCGTTAGACAAACATGCTGAACGGTTTATTAGTCTGAAACATGCTGAAACGGATCTTATGCTGAAAAGTATCTTAATAAAATAACTATTTTGAAAGTTAAGATTTGAGGAGGTACTTTTTAGGTATTTGCCTGAAGGCAACACTTTGACAATGGAAAGAAATTCATCAAAAACAGATTTTATATGATTGAATTTAATAAAGACTAAAAGTGATTCAAAGCTTACTTAAAGGGGTCATATAATGCCACTTTTGTACAAGCTAATATGATTCTTTCGGGTCTAAATTAAAAGTTTGTAATATACTTTAATTAAAAATTCTTATTAGTATTGTAAGAAAACACTTATTTTACCTGGTCAAAAACAGCTCTGTTTTCAGCACGCCGTTTCAGTGCATATGACTTTAAATGATAATGAGCTTTGCTCACTTCGCCCCTCTGTTCTGTGCGTACACCATTTGTAACTCAATAACACAATAACCATAACGCGTTGTTCAGTATAAACGTGGGATTATGAATTATATTGAGAACGTCATGCATAGAAAACATGCCGTAATGTACCCTAAGTGTAAACCTTAGACGCATTCATTGTGAAGCGTGCAGCTAGCGATTTGCAAAGATTAATATATTAATATAAAGTTTAATAAAACGTTACACTCACTTCCGTTCTTCTGGAGATTCAGCAGGAACACGAATATCTGGTACCGATCCTTTTTTCATGAGCAGCTTCTTAGCAAATCCAGCTTTATACTGACCCTCGTTTATAAAGCAGTCTGGTGTGAAATGATTCGCGCAAACATGAGAGCATTGACGTTGCTCGTGGGGAATATTCCCTTCGAAAACAAACTCAGCCACTGCGTCTTCAGCGGTTCGGATTTAGGAACATTAAAATGACTGCTGTGTTCGTTATTACACCCAAGAACAGAACATCACAATCGCTTAGACGCCATTCTGCTCATAGACAGTGCTCCAGCATATCAACAATGACCGCGCCGGTCCGCGCAGACTATGATTGACAGCTGGCTCACGAGCGAGGGCGGGTCTGTGTTGAAACGATGCTGTCAATCAACAATCGTGGGAGGGGCGTGCGAGCTTGTGACGTCACAGGCTCGAACGGCTCGATTTGAGGCAGGGGAAAACATATAAGGAGATTAAAACAAAACCACAGGATGGATTTTTATCATTATATGATGGTTGTGTACAGACACTGCCAACACACATTTCAGTACAATCAACTTGTAAAAGTGCATGTACCATTATATGACCCCTTTAATGTTAAAAACAGCAAATGTTGATGAAGATACTAAAAAGGCAGATAATTTAATAATGGATAAATAAATAAAACCCACCAAGTTCTGGCATGAAACTCTAGATGGCGCTGGCTGATAGGTCCTTGACTCAATTTGGTAGCTATCGCATCATCATCTACATAGTGCAGCTGATTGGTTGCTGTTACTGACAACTACTAAATGTTTTATAACTACCTGAATTAATCACGGATTACAGCAAGAATACCTGTTAATAAAGCATTTGTTAACACACTAAGTAACTTTTACTATATGTCTAAATAATAAGATGTTAACTATTTTTAACTGAGACTTTAAATCTCCTTTGTATACAAGGCATAAATAATCCTCACATTTAATGAGCTCGCAAAATACTTAACATCTTATTTTTTATAGTAATAGTTACTTGGTTACAAAACAGTTACAAGTCAGTATAAATGTACATTTAAATAGTTTAATCATTTACTTACACTTTCTAAAAAATCTTATGAACCACTGACAACTCCTAAATTACTCGTTTGTAAATAATGTAATACTTAGTTTAGAAATGATAAATTTATCATTAATAAAGAATTAAAATACAATTATTAAACAAATTATAGATATGCTTATAAATCAAGAATAAAGCATGTATAGCTGTATTTATAAACTGCTTACTAATGTCTATTAATGTAGTGACAATGCTTTATAAATGATTAATTAACGATTTACTAATGCTTAACTAATGATTCATAGCATGCTGTTATTAAAATGTTACCCATAATATAACAAATGCAATATTGTCCACAGTCATATCCGTATCCATTCCACTGTCACACAATATTAGGCAACAAACAAATTTAACAGTTCCTTATAACCTGCAAATAATTAATTTAACTGCAAATGTTTTAAAATAAAGGAAATGAATTAACTCATTTGAATTTTTTTTTAATGGGTGGAAAAATGCGTATGGGCGCATTATTGTCATACAATTTCCATTGTCCTCCACAACATGTGCCATGCCAGAAAATGAGTTTAAAATAACCACCAGGATATAATGTGACCATATTGACAATAAAACTCTTTATTGGTTCATTCAAAGACTTTTATTAGGAATCGTCCATGGAGGGTTAAGATTATCCATCTCACATAAGTCTATGCATTTTCCATCATTTGATGAATAAGATTTAGAAGGGAGATATTGACAATTGGTTCTCTTTTATACAAAATCATATGCATATGAATTTTGGCTTTTTGTTGAGCTGTGTATTACACAAGTGTTTTGGAGTGTTTATTTTTTTGATGTAATTTTCACATATTTTCATTTTCCCTCTTGAAGTTTATTTTGAAAGGATTTTTTGTTTTGTTTTCATCATTATATTTTACAAACTCATGTTTTGTTAATGTAACTCAGTCACCAGCAGCATTAAAATGATTTTAGAATTAATTAATTTAGGATTGACAGCTAATAATTTAGGCAAGGTTGAAATTATTCTTATTTGTTCCATTTCACATTGAATATCCTATTTAACTTGAGACAATATGTGAGATAAAATGGGTTGTGAATGGTGACTTTGAAATATAGTTGTAAGTGAAATTTGAGTGTTACTTAGAAAAGATCTCATAAAGTGTAAATGTCTCTCGTTCTCTTTACAGGGCTTCTTTGTGTCAGTGTTCTACTGCTTTTTGAACAGTGAGGTAAGAAAGCTCTTTTCCCGATCTTCTGTTTACAGGCTTTTTTGCACAAATGTCCCCACTACTCGTAGTTCTACAACAGCGATGGGCAACGTAAACAGTCTAATTCGGGTAATTCAGATTTCCTCAAACATGGCAGCCCGATGAGACCTGACCAAAAGAAGAATCACATCGAGACCCTCTCCGTTAACCCAAAGCCACCCTTTTGGCAGCCAATAACTAAAAACCTTCTTCACTCATAAAATATTCATTCCTGTGAAGTCTAAATTTGGCTTGTATTACATGACCTTTGAAATAAACTGTAAACCTTTGGGAATTTCCAGCCAAAATATTACTCTTTAGCGTTGTGCCCAGATTTCAAACGTAAGCACATCTTACGCATCATGTTGTACCCCTAAGTGAACATGCTTAAAGGTAAAGGCATCCAGGATCGGATCCGTCTGGGCTGTTTTGTTTGTCATTTTAAGTTCAAGGGAAGCAGAAAAGTGTGGGGCTTGATCTGAGGTCACCCTGAATCACAGATAGATATCAGAATACACAAGCAAAGCAGAGCGTACAGTGTTGCTTAAAGTCAAAGTGATAACATTGATCTGTTCCCGGTACATGAAAGGGACACCGCAATGTCAGATGCATGACGTTATGAAGAAGGGGCCTTTGGCTCCAATGTGTCTACGCAAACATGTTCAGAACTAAAAGGCCCGTGGTACTGAATTACAGCTACAATAATAAACACTTGCCTCAAGTTTTTTGAAAGTCAAAATGATCTGGCTTGGAACTACAATAAAGCACTTTCTTTCATTTGTTCACTTTATCTCAACGTGTTGCATTGCAGTTTATTAAGGTTAAAACTATTTAAAAGGATAGTTTATTGTAGTTTACTATCGTTGCAGATTTTTAACAAAATGTCCATTTTTTCTTTCTTTTTTTGCATGGAATAAAAATGGATGTTTATTCACATGTTAAGACTCTAGTATCAGAACATAAGGTATACAAATAACACATGAGAATCTGAAGTTTGAGTATAGCTTTAATAGCTTGGCTTTGACCGGTTCGGTAACACTTTAGAATACTGTTAATTAATAACTACACAGGAACAAATGAGTATTGCATTATTAACACTCTAGTAACTACTATTAACTAACAAAAAAAATTATTTGGATCAGTATTCTAAAGTGAAAAGCATGATAACTCTAGTAATGACTGAAATCATTGTAAACCTTTAAGTTTTTTGTAAGGTTTTGGATATTAATGGCTCATGCTACTACATCCTTCTTGTACATGTACTTGGGAAAGCAGAGTTTGTTTATCGTGTTGAAAGAAAAAAAGAATGTCAGGGATTATTTTCAGCAAACGCTCTGAAAGCTGTATTTGAAACCTTGCTTTAAGTGTCAGCAGTCACTGACCCATGGGGTTTTAAGTTTTTACAGAAAAACATAAAGAGAGAGAGAGTCAAGCTCTTAGAGCAAAGTAAGAAGTTTCTTTTCAGATAATTTTCGATCGCGATTGAGTTTGACCTCCTCGATCTTCTGAACCCCCCACTTGACACCCACTACAGAAGTTAATTGCATACAGCACCAGAGCTTTAATGTTCACTTCTGATAAACTGTGGAGACTGACCTTTGAGCCTCACAGGCATGGGCAACTGTGCATGCTGTGCCATGGGCTGCCAGCAACTATTTCATGCCCATTCAAACCGCGGCCCCTCAGATTTTTGAGCCAATGATGTACCTTGAATGCAGAATAAATATTTGATCTTTTTGATAATTCAGTTCACTAGTAATCTCAGACTTTTGTACTCCACTAAATTATATATATATACAGTGTATATATATATATATATATATATATATATATACATACACACACACACACACACAAGTCTACTCAATATAAAATCCTTCCGCTCCTGAGCATTAATAACAGTGACTTGAATTATAAACATGTTTGGAAGTTTTCCATATTTTACTGCTTCAGCGGCTTGTGAAGTGTTTACTGGTATAAATTCCAGTGCAGGCAGCATTGTTGACACATGCTTTGGTGACTACGAATCAAAACCTCAATCTGGTGAGAGAGCAACCGGCGTGGAAGCTGTGCGCTATCCATTGCGCATTGGAGCGCCAACAGATATTTGACCGTCGACTGTTTCGAAGACAGGCCCCCTAAGAAGTATATTAAATGAGGTGAAGACAGAGAGGAAGTGTAAATGTTTACTCTGACATCCATCTCATTGATTTGTGGAGAGATGCCTTTACAGTACTCAGACTCGTCTTTCTGAAAGCCAACACATTGATTCAGTAAAACGCCCCACCCCCCTCTCCGAATTACTGATTTTTCTTATACGTTTGGTTCGACCACCTGCTTCTGGTTACTTCCCCTGCATTTAAACTGTATTTGGCATTTTAGTTGTCAAAGGACTATAACAATTTCAACCTTTTCTGACAGCACAGCTTAAAGGCCCACTGAAGTGCCCTGAATGATGCAGCTTTGTATGATGCGTTTACATAATTTCCACTGAAACAGGAAGCTAAGGTGGGACATATTGAATGGCTCCTCTGCCTTTTCAAATAGCCAATAGCGTTTAGTTTACCTCACAGACAGCGAGTCGTACTTGACAGCACCATGGAAACGAATCCGAGCACTGATACGTTGGATTCAATTGTAATGTTAGAGGTGTGAATAAATTCTAGCCATTTAATTCTGAAAACGGAATAAAACTTGAGCGTTTGAGCAACCGAACACACACCTCCAACCCATATTGCTTTTGGACGTGCCTGACAGTCACTCCGACTTGAAATAAACAATACCCCGGAGTATATGTTACTCTAGTAATTCCGACAGTTAACTGATGGAACTGATGAGCACGAGCAGCTGACACTGAGCATGTGTTTACTACCGAACGTACAATCAGGTACAGCCACGGTCGCTTTGGCCAGGTGGTATTTATAGCATAGAGGGCGGGACCCTTCAGATTCTAGAGAGCATTTGATTGGACAGAAGATGTGGTGAGAAGCTGAAGTCCGCGGTGACGTCATAAAAATCCATAATCTATTTTAGCGTAAGTGATAGACTGTAAGTTTTGAATGCTTATATCTCCTAAATGTGAATTTTGTCATTGTTTTGGAACACACCAGCTTATTTATAACATTAAGGCTAACATATTCATCCTAAGAGCTAAAAAAACTTACTTAGCTAAAAATTTTGATTTTAGGGGGCCTTTAAGGAAATGTCATAGGTTTGGTTGCTAGGGAGAGGGTTCCCTGGTTGCTATGATACTACGCCGAGTATGCAAACGATGCAGGGTTTCATTACTGGCATATATAACACTGGTATGATTTAAATGTTAATTATTTGATGATCTGTTTTTGTGCTGGGAGCAGACCTTTGCTGCTAACCTTTGACCAGTCCTGATCCAAATCCAGATCTGGGGCCGTATTCACAAAATGTATTTTAGCTAAAAGTAGCTAAAAGCTAAAAGTAGCTCCTAACTTGCAGATTTAGGAGAAAATCTTAAAATGAATGGGCGTGTCATTTCTAATTTTTAGGACTCCTACATTTTTGCTCTGGAGAGTATTTCACAAAGCATTTTAGCACTAAAACTAGCTCCTAAATCTGTGAAAAGGTAGTCAAGAGGACTCCTAAGTCACTAAGACCAAATCACAAACAATCCTAAAATGGCTGTTGCCGGCAATCTGCCTCTGCAATCCACCCAAAGATACTGTACTGCCGACCACGCCCTCGCCTCTCTAAACTTCACATCCTCCGTCTCTACAGATTCTCAAAGTTCAGAGAGTTTTCTCTTTCTGCTTGATGTCCACCAAGTTCAACCACAGATGCCTCTTCATTGCCACCATCACTGCCATTGAACGACCAGTGGCAGCAACTGTTTGATTGTGTGGTGCAGTGCAGCTCAGCGACCACTTCTGATACAACTCTTGAAGCAAATCTGTCGTTAAGCCTGCAGCACTGCCATCGTGTGTAAGGCACCCCTGGCCTGATCTGCTGCCACACACACCCTGATGTTCACGTGCGAGGTAGTCCGTAGTGGGTTAGATGGCAGGGTTGGAGCCTTCAAAGAGGATGCATCACCCTGAGAAAGATAACCCGCAAGCGTCTCTTCAACAGGAGGCATCCTCACATTTCCCCGCTCACGCAATCCCTCCACATTCAAATAATTTGAATGCTTAAAGGGATAGATGCGAGCTGAATATGGCTTCCTCCATGACTCCTCCACCTGCAGGACGGTTATGGCCTGACAGAAACTGCTTGTTTGACACAAGCGACTTCCTGTCTGTGACGCAACCAAACTAGATCCAATCTAGTCGTGGCATGGGCCATCATCTCCATCAACTCCTAGTATGCATGGCTGGCAGGCTGAGAGCTCACTACAAGCGATATCCTCGCCCTCCTCAACACCATCCGCCTCGTCCTGGCTACATGATACCAGCAACATAGCAGCAACATGCTATCTACTGGATCAGAATGTTTAAGAGACAGTAGATCCTGATCCAGTTGATCACTTGAGCCAGTGACTTAGCCATACCTTTCTCGAACTCCTCAGCCAGCTTGACCTGCGATCCCCACAACTTCAGGGGCCCAAGCTGCGGGGCTCAAACACTTGTCCTATATCCCTCGAGAATAGGACCAAGTGCGTACAGAGCATACTCATTGTGAATTTCTCACAATGGGTGCATTCAGAACCATCTAGAAATTAATGCACATGCTCCTCACCCAAACACAAAACCTGGGACATAGAGGCACACACTTCCTGAAACACTTGCTCAAATGTTAATAGATGATGATCGCCTTTAACATGCTAATACAAGCAAACGGCTCCAGAAGACAAAGCTGAAGACACAGGGCCTTTTTCAATCTGTGTTCTTGTCTGTACTTGTGTTCTTGTGACACGTCATCTTTTGTGGCCCAAGTACTGTCCCAATACACAAGTTTGCATTTTGGCAAGAACGGTTAAAAATCCCGGAAGTGTTCTTGACACGCCCATTTTACCGAGGATGAATCGGTTGGTAACTTGTATGAACTTGACGGCAGAAATATCCCAGCATTCATTTCGGCATTCGAGGAAGGAGAGGCAGGTTAATACAGTAAATAATTTTTCTACAATTTTGTACACTATTTCATCACTAAATTCACTTCTGAGAACATTTGATGCGAGAAATCGACTGTGTAGATTTCCAATATTGGCATTTTTACGAAAATGCATGGCGAATCGAAAATGTGCTGAAACGTTGTCATGGACTGTCGCCGGCCAATAAAATTGTCATGTTTACGCACGTGCTTCAGACACCGGTCATGCTGGTGATGTTCCCTATAGTGTCAATCCAAGACGTAGTGTTGAGTTCCATTTCAGAACTGGCATTGTATATTTATATATTAGATTATATCGTTTCACTCATAATGTAATAATAATAATAATACTTTATTATTATTATTTATAATTATTTTTAAATGTTATAAATATTATAATACATATATTTATTATACCACTTTCTTTCTCACTCACCCACTTTGTCCATATTTTTCTCTATATTAGCTGTAAATTAAACCTCTTTTCTCTGACGTATATGCTTCTTACACACGCACACACGCAGCCAGACAGATACGCAGGTTCACATGTTTATTTCCTCTTTCCCTGCCCACGTAAGCACATATACACCTGTTCTCGCTCTTTCTCACTCACACACGTGGGAAAGTCAGAATATACTGTAAGTCATTATTAGTCTTGTTAATATTAATCTCCACAATGAAGATGAGTTATACAGTGGTGTGGTAATCAAAAAGAAAAACTTCTTCCATCATGTGCATAACAATCCCACACATTGCATTTCAATATAACTTCATTGCGAAGAGTAAAATGTATATTTTGAAAACTTCCCACATTTTTGTTTTTTCATTAAATCTTTTTGAACAAAGACAAAAGTTAAAAATTTTACATTTTGTATTAGAAATTTGGATGAATTTATATTTAAATATAAGAACACTGATCTGTCTATTTAAAAAAAAAAAAACTGTCACTTCTCTCTCCTGTTATTTTAAAGCATAGGATATCTGACAAGGTTAATGTAATGCAAATTCTAGCGCTGTTATGACGAGCAGTAGCATGACGGGTGACAGGTTTGACAGAAAATACATGCTGCTCTTTGTTGCCATGTTTGACAAATGAATGACAGAACTATACATTTGTCACGTGTGACTAGAGCGCACGAAGATGAAGAATTCAAGGAAATAGTATTTTAAATTCAATAATCCACAGGGTAACACATCCACTACACAAAGACAAGACCGGACCAAGAACTGAATGAAATGGAGTACATTATGAACAAACTAAATTAGGTAATTAACGAAAGACAGGTGAACGGAATGATTAATCAACACACTAGGAAACTGGGTCAAATTAGAGGGCACACAGGCAAACAGGAACAGTGCTAAAACACAAAGAAACTAAGCCAAAATAGAACATATATGTGACAACATTAGTGTAATTAATAAATTAGGCCGAATGGCTTTAAAGTCACTTAATTTTTTTGTTTAAATCACATATTCATAACTTGTCTGACCATTTTTATGTCATTTGTCATTTTCACATAATTTGACTTGATATTCAGAGCTTTCTTGAAAAAAAAAAAACCAGCAACACTAACCGTGCCTCTTGTAGTACTATGTATATATTAGGGTTTTACTTGTGTTTAGTGTAAATTAATGTTTACTAGGTTTAATGCAGCCACAATGATTTATATTCTTGAGAGAGAGAGAGAGAGAGAGAGAGAGAGAGAGAGAGAGAGAGAGAGAGAGAGAGAGAGAGAGAGAGATAGATAGATAGAGAGTGTGTGTGTGTGTGTGTGTGTGTGTGTGTGTGTGTGTGTGTGTGTGTGTGTGTGTGTGTGTGTGTGTGTGTGTGTGTGTGTGTGTGTGTGTGTGTGTGTGTGTGTGTGTGTGTGTGTGTGTGTGACAGATCAATACTGCTATTTTATGTGAATTATATCATTTGATAATTATGTAATTTAAATGTTATTCCCCTCATATATGGCGTTAGCTACATTTTGTTACTAACTTGCAGTGAAACCTTTTTATCTATAGTTGAGCTACATTCAATTATTAATATTATTAGTAAAGTGTCTTTCTTTTTGTCCGTAGGTTCGCTCAGCCGTTCGTAAGCGGTGGCATCGCTGGCAGGATAAGCACTCCATTCGGGCGCGGGTAGCGCGGGCCATGTCTATTCCCACCTCTCCAACGCGGGTCAGTTTCCACAGCATCAAGCAGTCGTCGGCCGTCTGACCTTAACAGAAGCGAAGCGCCCATCCCCGTTTCTTCTGCTTCCGCTCTTTCCGTCCTCAACTAATCATCCATGTCCTCTGCAAAACCCAGGGATAACACCTATGGGCCAAACAGGGTATGATCCTCAGCTGAAACATAGATGAAGGGTGGAAATATACACAAACAATGAGGTCCACCTGCCGAACACCGAGAAGAAGAATCTGTTTCAGAAACAGATTAGAGCATCGGTGGTCTCAGACAATGATAGCAGACACAAAAAGGTTGATTAAGACAGACAGAGTGTATTCATTCAATAGCTAAAGTTATATGTCACATTATCTCCTCCTGATCTGCTTACCTATCTTCTCTGATTGGAGACCTCAGTTTATTCCTAACTTGTCTCCAGAACTGTCAGAGTAGGATAATATTGAATATACACTACATGGCCAAACGTAGTGTGATTGTGAGACCTATGTTTGAATGGCAGTAAATTCCTTCATCCATATTCCAACATCTATTGGAAAACCTTCCAGAAGAGTGGAAGCTGTTAGGGGGGATAAACTTTTTAATGCCAACATTTTTCAATTAAGGCAAGCAAGCACATATCCACTCTTATATAAAAAAGGTTAAATGGGGTTATAAATAGATTAGATTAAATTAATAGATTAAAGAAACCGTTATGCCAAAATGACTCTATAAGGAGAAATGTCTTAAACTATTCCATAATACTTTCATGTTTAATAAAGTATGTTTACGAGCTGCTTAATTCATAACATTTTATTACAATGAAAACTAAATTAATTAAAACTAAATCCATAAAATGATCCCATGATGCGAACCCCTAAAATGTTCTATATATCAAGCACCTGACAGAACCCTTATGGAACCTTTTAAGAGTGTGAGTTTGGTTTTCAGGTGTCCACAAACTTTTGGTCATATAGTGTATTGGTTTTAGGGTTTGGGAGTATATTGGAATCAGAAAACAAACTGAATATCTTTGACAGATCTCAATGTGAACTTTCATTATTGTTATTGAATCTTTTGACTCGATACTTTGGAGATAAATGTAAGGAGTTTTCTCTGAGTTGTTCAGTTTGTGACCCTTATGCTTTTTCTCACTCTTTACTCTTACTGCTCTACACATTACTGCAGCTAGTAATAGTTTCCTCTGATTCTCATACATTTCTGTGAGCTAACTCATTCAACATGGATGCTTTTTGCTATGAAATTATGAGTACATCTATAGCTGCATACATCATGCAGTGCAAGTGCGAAAAACTGTAAACAATTTTTACAAAGACGAAAGGTACGTGTTAATGCTCTCTAAGCCAGTTTGCATCCTGGGACTCAAGGATATATCTGAACCCCAGAGATAAAGAGGAAGGAAGCTCATAGGAAAGGGAACAACATCATGAAAGACTCTGATGCCTGCTAAAGTAGAAGACGACACTCTCCGATGCTAAATACTTAACACAATCTTTTAAATAAGGTGTTTGTCTCAGAACAAAAAGGATTTTGATTTTATCCTGCATTTGGAGCTGCAGCCAAGCAGGCAATTGAATGTATTTCAATTAATCACTCCAGCTCTCTTATCCATGCACAGTTTCATATAAATTCCTAGTTATCATGCAGGCTTACAAGATGATCATAGTACTAAACACTTGGGAAATCCGATTCAGGAGACTCTTTCAAAAAAAGACTAATTCTAGTCACACATGACTGGAAGTTGTTATTGTTGCACAAGGCTGAATATTTTACTCACCCTCATGTTGTTCCAAACATGTTTGACCTGTATGACACAAAATGAGAAAGTGTTGTTTTTTTTAGAAATCTACTTTTATTCAGTAAGAATGCATTACATTGATCAATACTGCCCTACAAAGCAAAAAGGCAGTAACTGCATTTTTGGTCAAAATTAGTTATTATAATTTTCATGACATTCAAGGCATCCTTTGTTATGTGACAAAACATCTTATCTCAAATGTGTGTCGTTTTGGAGAAAAATGGTAGTCGTTTGTACAGTAACTGCAAAAAGCCCTAGTGAAACAAAGCAAGAGTACAGTAACATCCATTACTGTATTCTTGTTATGTTTTACCTAACAAAAAATAACCGTGTTTCTGCGCAGTGTAGTTACTGTTGCCATGGTGAACACACAGCTGATTTTCGGGCATCCTCACGGGACGATTTTAACATTTGCGATTTCACCCTTCTAACTTCCCCTAATTGTTCCCTTACCAAACTACCCAAACTGCTTCATTTGAGAAAAACTATCGTCATGTCATAAACACAGAAACTCAAAGGTCTTCACAGCAACCCGTCAAATTAAAAGTTTGTTTTAACTTGACAGAAATATATTAGGCTACTGTTGTACAGTAGAATTTAGAAACGTCTCAATGTAATAAGATTAAAACTTAATTTTTATTCAATGTTTTAATTTGAACAGTAAAGCTCATTGTGCAGCATGTTGTTTGACCAAAAATGTTTGTTTAATTTCATATGATTAAAAGAAATGTAATTAATAATATATTAGAATTGTAATATATTTTATTTTTAATATTCATAGAATATTTTAAAAATATTGTATAAGTTTAATAATAGTTTATAATAAAAGTTTCATGATTTCAATTAATTAGACATGATTTTTGATTACTAAAAATTTACACCACGTATCCGTAACACACCCGCTCAGCAACACTAGTTTCGCAACACAAAAATGTTGGAAAAAAAATGTTGTCCAAATGGTTCCAATTATTTCAAATACAGTGTTTCTAACACACCCAGAGCCCAAGTTGTGGCAAAATAGTTTTTGGAGAATCTGTAGTTACTGCCTTTTTCCTTGGTATGGTGCCACGTTTTTGGTAAGTAAAACAAAGCAAGAATACAGTAACTGCAAAATAGGGGTAACATATCAAATTAAATATGAGGATTGATATGTACAAAGAATAAGCTAATATAAAGTAACAAAACAGCCACATGTCCAATAATCTACCTACAACTACTTAGGCTGGATGACAGGATAACTTTAAAGTCATTTTTCTCTGTTCTGCACTCTGCGTAGTTACTGCCTTTTTGCTTTGTAGGGCAGAATAGTAATAGTAAAAGACAGACCAAAAAAATCTAATTCAAATAAATGATGTTTTTAAACTTTCAATTCACCAAAGAATCCTGATTTTTCTTAACACATCACATAAACTGTTTTTAACATTGATAATAATAAAAAAGTTTCTTGAGCACCAAATCAGCATTTATGAAGGATCATGTGACACTGAACTGTTGTGAGCATTCAGTTTTGAGATCACGTGAATAAATTACATTTTAAAATATATGTAAATAGAACAAACTTATTTTAATGTAATAATCTTCCTCTCCAGTAAGATATTCACTTGAGAACCTCAACAAATTAATGTCACTGAGTTAAACTGAATCAGTTTGATCTGTGAATGAATCTTTCAGACTGGTTTTGCAAACTTGCCTTCATTTCATGATTCAAAAAGATTTGACTCAACAACGATCTGTTTACAAGGGGTTTGTGCTTTTCAAGATTGAAGGTCGAATGGGTTCAGAACAACATGAGCGTGACTAAAGCTGATGGCAGCTTTCATTTTTGGGTAAACTGTTCCTTTAAAGATGTCAGTGATTTATTTCAAACGAAGTGTATTTCAACATTGCTATTGGTGGACCATATATTTTTTTCTAGCTTCTCTGGACAGCTTTTTTTGTGTGGAAGGAAATCTCTAAATTTAACATATAGATGAGTAGTGTGCTTTTGTGTTGATCTAGGACCAGCTTAAATCCCAACAGAATCAGTCAAAAGAATCACCTCAGCAAAATCTGCTTCGTTATCTTTAGAGAGTCAAGGGAGATCTGCGTGCCTTGCAGGGTCATTTAACGTTTATCCATGTGTTAAAACCCTCGCTAAGCTGAGCCGCCAATGACCGAGTCCTGTGACCGCTCACTGCTGACTCAGCACAGTGAAGCAGATTTAGCTTTTGTGCCACATACATCCAATCAATCACATCTGATAGGGAGAGCAAGGTTGTTAAAAAAACTGACTCAGGACCTCCATCTATGCCTCTGTCCTCTTCTGACCTTCCTGAAGTACTTGTGCAAGAATCATTTGCAAAGGTTTCTGCAGATTCCACATTTGTTGTGTACATGTCCATTAGACATCTAGTTGTATGTAGGATTGTGGAGTTTGCGAATTACCATATAGCAGTGTGTATTCCTGACAAACCGAGGACCAAGCTCATTTCACTGCTAGAAAACATAAACACAAGGTTTGTTTTAGTGTTGATTCTACGTTAAAAAAATCTGTTTTTAGACTGTGCACACTGTCATTTTGCAGTGAAATGTGATCCGTTTGTTCTGACAATGTAGTAAATATCCGGATGCCAAGAGGCTTTTTCATACAACATCCAAGAATTGTTGGCGGAAAGAGGATGGAAGGCTGGAAATTTTGCCTCTGCTTGTGTCTATCATGACATCTTGCCGCTGTGCTGAACTCACAAGGCGCATTAGAAAACATTAGTGATGGGTATTTTACCCATGGCCATTCATGCATACCGTGTCCAAAACCACTTATTTGTTCACTATTCACCACATAGTGAAGGCTTTCATAGTTCGCTATACTGTATGAGGAAAGAGTGAGAGAGTGTATTCTGACACAACCCAAGATGATATTGAGAATGTTGTTGTATGATATACAAATATTTTAGGTCAGCGAGAAATTAACACTTTTATTCGGCAAGTATGCATTAAATTGATATAAATTGCATCAAAGGCTTTTACATTGTTACAGAACTAATTCAAAATAAATGCCTCTCTTTTAAACTTTATCAAAGAATCCTAAAAAAACAAATGTATCACGGTTTCCACAAAAATGTTGATAATTCAGCTTTGCCTTTAGAGGAATAAATTACACTTTTAAAATATATTCAAATATGTTATTTAAATTGTAATAATATTTCACAATATTAATGTTTTTACTGTATTTTTGATCAAATTATTTTAGCCTTGGTGCGCATAAGAGGCTTTTTTTCAAATACATCTTGCAAACGCCAAACCTTTGAATGGTATGTGATGTAGCACCCCGAATGATAATTTATATATATTCGGGGTGCTATATATATATATATATTTTCGGATCTGACCATTTTGACTGAAACGCAGATTTAAAGGGGTCATATGATGGTTCTAAAAATAACATCATTTTGTGTATTTGGTTTAATGCAATGGTAAATGGTAA